ATAAAATGAGAACCAAGCTTGCTTGGAATTTTAACACTGGGGGTTTCACATCAGACTGACCACCTGAACGGAACATCTGCTCATGCACCTCAGGGCCCTCGATCACGTATACTAAGTTGGACACAGAAGTCCTTGGCTCGCATGGGCTGTCGCGCCACTGAGTTAAGTTATTGGTGTGGTGTGGAGTAGGATTTCTTACATCCGTATTTGAATGCAATAATATCAATACTACTGCCAGATTTTACAAAAAGCCGCATCTACTTTGTTACCTGAAGGGAGTGCAAGACCTCTGAAACTTCACTCTAGAAATCGAGCGATATAGTTCAGATAGTCCTGTTCCAGAGCAGGGTACTTATATATGTAATATTGTACAAGAATTGACGTCATCCAAGTCCGTACCATTTGAAATTTTAGCAGAACTACAGTTACACTTCATCATTCACCAGGATCATCACCATCGTTTTTAATTGGACACATTGGGATTCCGTTCTACTGTCCACCTTGGAGCACATTTCATTATTGCCTAGTTGCCACGTTTTTACTGGCTTCACCCCCACTCTAAAGTAATGCAAATATTTTCACGCAGAACAAGCTAAAAGAATATGCAGAAAAATTATTCACATGTCTTTCCGGTGGAGAAATGGACATTTAACGCCAAAGGTTTTTTTTTGTCACCAACAAGGAGGGTTGATAAACCCGATTTCACCGGATGCTCGCAACAGCGTTGTCTTCTTCTGACACTTGTCACGTCAAAGCGCATGTGGTAAGGTGAGGATAAGTCTTCGAAGTCTGTACTGAATTCTTTAATAATCAGAAAATTACAGACTTTCCAAGCAAGATTTGGACTGCGACTGCATTTCTGTGCTGGACATTAAAATCAGGTAATCTTCTGCAATGTACTCAGATGCCGGAACATTATCGAGAATCACGAATCTTACGGACTGTTTTGACGTACGTTTCCTGTAAACAAATTGAAAAAGAAATATTTTCCAAACATCAGGTCTTTTGAAGGAAATGTATTTTGAAATATTTTTTAACCACGGCGTTGCCATTTTAAACTGAACCTTCATCTTGGAGAAAAATGGATTAATCACTTTAAAATTTCTCTTGAAATATATGTCCTACACATGTCGCCGTCGAGAAAAACTGCTTTCGCATTGAATGTTTTAATATTCCTTTAATTCTCTGTACTCAAAGGAACACTTTAATAATCAGTTCTTTTTTCATTTATTTCCTAGTCTTGTTTAGACGACGAAACCGACACCTGAGTGGGCCCGTTACTTCCTTATCCATAACGCTTACACCATGTAGCTTCAAGGTTTTGAAAGATGGTTAAATTACGTGAGCCCCCATCCCGAGGCACGAATGTCTGAGTTGTAATCTACAGTGCCCTCGGAGTGTTACCCCTCCGTTCGATTCTCGTTCAAAACCTAGTTTTCGAGAATAAAAAAGTCTTCTGACGTATACTCTCTCGTTTGGAAGTGATGCATTGGAGTTCTAACAAACATCCTATTTCTCCACAAAAAAGTTTCAGATTCCTATTTACTCGACAGCATAAATTAAGCATTAAGGTGTGGTTCTGAAAACTGGTTTCCTGAAAATATTACGTGATCCTGAAATATGAGTCGGTTTAAAATCCCACGCCTTATGAAGGATTGCTATGATGTGAATATTTTGGGCCCCATCGAGCAATATAACGCATGAAAGTCTTAATCCTAGTTTTTATTAAATCTCGAAAAAGAGCCAAAATTGGTTCTGCTGAATAAAAAATTCAATATTTGGATGTAAAATCAAACGAACTGTGTGCAATTATCTCTTGAAAAATCAGTTACATTTCAATTTCCAAAACTAATATCATATGCATTGGTCTGTGCCGGAAAAAAATAACCCTCTGCTCATTTCAAATAATTTAGCATTACATTATAGGCACTTCAACTTTCACTTCTGATTGCTTCATCCTGATTGGTTGAAATTCCTAGAATAGATTGTGTTTGAAGGAAAATCTTTCTTTTAATGTGAGATTTCACTGCGACTGAACTTGCTATAAAACTGCTCTGTGCCATTCGACAAAAAGCGACCTTGTTTTCTATATTTGGTGACTTGAAATCTATTGTATTTCGTAGTTTCTCTCTTGTTTCTTCATTTTATATATTAATCTTATTGAATAGCTTTATTGTTTTGTTTACTTTTCAACCTAGCTGTACCGTTAGGCTTAACTCTTAACGTTTTTCTTTTGGCTACTTTCTTTTTGCTCATTTGGCGATACAATGCCAGATTTTAATGCTTTTTATGAGTCTTTCTTTTCAGATCGCCGCCAATGAACAGGAGCCCATGGACTGGGAGGACGTCCCTTTCCTCCCTCAGGAAAGTGCACCTTTTGTTCCTTCCCGTCCCCCACGGAAGATGAGGTACTTCATCTTCGTTCAGGCAAGTGAACCCCCTTCTCTTTCAGCCAACAGCTTCCCTAACATGAGGGCTCTCGTTCCGAAGGTAAGGACGCCCCAGGCGCCCAAGGTGTCTGTGATGTCTTTTGTTTTTAATGTAGTTTCTCCTATTACTTCCTATTTTGCTTCTTTCTTCATGTAATGTTTTTTAGTTCTATTTAAATTGCAATTTTACAGATTTAGAGAAAATCCCTTTTGCGAGGACTTACTTATGGCAAAGAATTCTGATGTAATTAAATTTCAAAATAGATAACCTATAAAAAATATGCAGTCGATATCAAAATAATCTGATACCTTAGCTGTTTTTGTCCCTTATTTTAGACTCTAGAATGTTCAACGGATATTTATATTTCACTAGCAGCAAAAGATTCTCCATGGCATGTTTTTGTGATAACTATTTGATTAATGTTTCTGTACTTGTGTATTATCGCAACCTTTTGGCGACAATACATGAAATTAAGCAGATGGATGCCATTTCAGCACGTACGACACAAACGGAATTGTCAACTTGGAAAGTTATTAATAGAGTTGCAATAGTTGCGATAACACGCAAGTACCCTTTTTTTCATACGTTTTGACAAATATTTCTAATAAACTTTCTTTTTCAGAATTATTTAGTGTAACATTTTCCAGGTATTATGTTTGATAGAGCTTACTCTGTTAGTATAGTAGTAATTTTTCGATTGATTTTTATTTTATATAATTATTAAGGCATTTTATTTTGAATTTTTTTTTAGCTTAATAGTTCATTGTAATGCTGATTTTTTTTCAGAGGATCGTCGACGTTTCGTGTCAACATTGGATGTTACCAATGCTTTTCGTTCCACGAAAAACGTTTATTTTCTTACAGGTTATTCTATAGTCGTGAGGGGGTGTTTCCTTTCACTCCCGGCGCTGCCCTGAGAGTTTGCTGGAGAGGGCAGCCTCGAGGGACCACAGTAGCCGACCTCCACGTGGTGTCCCTCGGGCAACGCTGTGCATCGAACAGATGACAGCGGCTGCCGGACTACTAAGTAAAGATAAGCTATTGTGCAGTTATAACTTTACAGAACAGTGATAATTCTGTCTACCAGTGGCGAATTAGTGCGCGAAAAATTCTCTTAATTTTCACCTATGCGTTTTCTTTCTTCTACCATTGTATTTTAGGTTCAAAAGGAACGAAAATTCTTCAAACAATTCGTGCGAGGTGCATGTAATAGAATATTACAAGGAAGAAAACTTTGGTAAACAATTTGGTCGAATTTTTTTTCAATAATGGCTCAGTTATGGTGGAGAGCTTTAAAAAAATCGATCGAGCATTATATGTGATGTTCCTCCCCTTGGAAATACATCTCTAGAATCATCAGTGTGAGCTAGAAGTGTAGGATTAGCGAAAGAACTAAGATCAAACATTATCATAATAAGACTTTATTAAGATATTCAACTTAAACGTTTAACAAATTCAATAATAATAATTAATATGAGAGAATCTACAATGACGTAATACGCAACACACAATATATATATATTTATGTAATAAGACCTAATCCAATTCAGACGAATCTTAATAAGCGAACCACCTATTCCTCGATTATAATATTAAATAATCAATCCTACCTTATTATATCTCGTAGTAGTTCTCGTCTTTATCTGCAATGGGATGCAGCTGTACAGGTTCTTTCTAAACGAGCATCAATATATGTATCCACGTCACGCAGAACTTATTCAAACTTGAAACACGAATTGTAATATTCATCATCTGCCACAACGAACTTCAATTGTCTATCATTCCTTTACATTGCCATCGCGCTTACTGTAAGATCCGATATTTAAATTCCGTTTATTTGCATCTTTACTTCACATCTTATTTCTTGGATTTGGTTGGAAAAGAGTTGCCATTAATTCTGGCCCAAAGGACTTGTTAAAGAAAAGACGCGTAAGACGTCACAAAGATACTTATTGTATGATGCTCTATTAAAATATTGCCAGATTTGGCGCACGATTCACTATCTTTTCTCTTCATAACAAACCATAACTCAAAAAGTATTCATACAATAAGAAATATTTTAGTACATTCTCTAGAAGATAACATAAATAGCAGATTCTAAAAGTGTTATATAAATACATTCGTAACATTTTGAGTTATCAGACTCGCGATGATAGATTTTGAGTAATTTAAATGCCTATTTCTTGAAGATCAAAGACCCACTTCCGGTTTTTCTAACTTTATAAAATTGATTGTAACTTGGCGTCTAGGTAGCGTAGAAACAAAACAAAGTATGTTTAGTAAAGCCAAAATGTAGCTTTATTCAATAAAATAAAAAACAAAAGTATGTGTCTTGACTGAATTTGGTCATTTTCAACTTGTTCGGATACCTTAAATGCTGCTTCGAAGAAATTGCTGTAGAAATATTGTCTTAAACAGAATTCTTTAGACATGTTACGTTCTTTGACGTGGACGTCTAATGGCAAATATAGTTCGTTACAGCACTAGCATGGAAAAAACCAATGAAAAGCAATTTCCGAGAAATCTGTAACTTTCTTTGTGTGAAAATATTTGTACTGACGTTCTGAGACGAATTGACCAAGTGGTTAAGGCGATGAACTGCTAATCCATAGGGCTCTGCCTGAGTGGGTTCGAATCCCATCCTCATAGACTGTACTCTGCCCGAAGCTTTCGTGATGTGCCATTTTTTTTCGAACGTCATTTGAAGTCTCGGAAAAGGAGAGATGAAGCCGCCAACACCCAAATTTATGCTAAGGTAATACGGAAAGTAACTCTTATATATTTCTAGTCATACGTCCTTCTGAATCAATTTTTGAAGGATTCGCTCGAAATATATTGCATGTAGAAATAAATATTTTCTTCTAGAGTAGTGCAACTTGCATGAATTCGTCCGTACGTGTTTTCGAAATTAGTGTCGAAAGGGAAATTTTACAAACTACACCTGGGAAATTTTTCTTGAATACACACTGCAGTAATTGACAGTAGTAGACAAAATACTGAAAAAAAGGGCGAGAGTATAATTATAAGCAAAATTATTTAAAATGCATATAAGTATTATTATTTAAAATATTCAGAATGTGAATTTTTGGAATGATAACTTCTATCGGCACATTTTACTGGAGAGCGGCTTTAATGAACGTCACACTCGGGTATGTAGGACTCATTCGGATTTTTTCGCCTTTAGTCGGACATACAAATTTCCTTTCTAAAAAGGAAAGGAGGGACGTTCCCCCGCCACTCTAAAAACGCGGTAGTTTGTCCCCCCATCAATACGTCGTAAAGGTAAAGTTCCTAGCTTTGATCTAAGTGCCCCCCACACTGCCTCTTTCTACGGAAATAAATGCGGGATTCTTGCTAATCCTAGTTGAAGCATGAAAATAAAACATGTAATATTTTTAAAAATATACTTGGAGAGAAAGAGAGAGAAATCATACAATAAAATTAAACTTAAAATGTAGAAAAAGGACAAATTTGTATAGAACTAGTTAAATAGTATAATTATCATTAGCAATATTGCAGTGAATTTTAGACTAAAATTCTATTTTTGTAAGCGAATCGGAATAGCAATAAATTTATAGTTCTATTAATCACATTACTCAAATATATTTTGAGTCTAAAAACAACATTAAAACAATTAAAAATTTAAGATAACAAAATTAAGTATACAGGTATTAAGAAAAAGTTAGATTAAATAATTTAAGTACAAGAAAACAGAATACAATTAAGAAGATTTTCCTTGCAGCTGCACCGGATATATTTGTACAAAGCTGCCATACAATGACTAAAGAGTTAGTATAAGCCAGGGATTATGTGATATAAATCTTCTGATTAAATCCCTTTTTGAAGGTTTAGACCTAGATTCCTTTCTTTCCAATCAACTACCTGTCTTGCTATTCTTTTGCTTAAATTAATTCATGGATAGAATTGAATATTGTTAAATTACAACCAAAATTCACAAAGTCGTATCGGGTCTTCTGATCAAATTACCTATGATTTTAAGTGGAAATTTTAAAGTAGATTTTTCAAAAGACAAATCAAAACCTTTAGTTGATTTTTGAAAATCAAAATTCAATTTAATTACGTCAAATGATCCAAATGAAGCACGAGAAATTGCGGAACAACGCTTGGCGGAGTTTTTTTATAGGTATTTAAATAAAATTTTGAATCTAAAGGATTTATAACCTATTTCAGCTACCATAAACCTATTTTTTCCTTCTTAGAATACCATTAATTCATAAATATGATTGTATATTTTGCACAAAAAGTATTACTTTATGAGTACAGACACATGAATAAATAATTTTATTGAACAATACTGATATCCCCCTGTTTTTTATTCACCTAACTAATCCCTGAAATAACTTTACCAAATATGAAGTTTTCTTGTATCGTGTGGTAATCAGCACACATACTTTTTATTTCTCTTTTCCGTGGACTATTGCGGTTACTTCTATTACTCGCGTATTCAAAAAGCCTCAGAAAAGACACACGGAAAAAGTATCTCGAATGTTTCTCGTAGTGCTGCCATCTGTGGAGAACAGTTTTAACTTCGTAGTTTGTCACGGTCTATTTGTAGATCTGTGCCCTCCCTGTTTCGACTCCTGATTATTTGAAGGTACCTATGATTGGAACCGCTGTCATCGCCGTGATCGTATAGTGGTTAGTACATTACGTTGTGGCCGCAATAACCTAGGTTCGAATCCTGGTCACGGCAAGGAAATCGTTTCACTTTTATTTCGGTGGTTTTATGCATGACCCACATGAGGAGCACCTAGGTTTTATCAAATCTGATAGGAGCCTAAATGAACACTTTTGTTGATTACGTATAATCACGTTCACAGATATTACTTAATTCTGTTTGCAAGAATCATCATTGAAAATATTTTTGCAGTTATATTTAGAAGTAGAAGACCATACGGAAAGTAATCCATTTCTAGTGATATATCCTTCTGAGTTAAATTTGGAGTGATTTGCTCGAAATATATCTTGTTGAAATAAATTTTTTCTTCTAGAATACTGCAACTTACATGAATTAGTATGTAAGTGTTTTCGCTATTAGTGTCGAAAGGAAAATTTTACGAACTACCTCTGGGAAATTTTTCTTGAATACACACTGCAGTAATTGACAGTAGAAGACAAAATACTGAAAAAAAGAGTGGGTGTATAATTATAAGTAAAATTATTCAAAACGCATATAAGGATTATTATTTAAAATATTCAGAATGTGATTCCGGTAAACTCCTAGGAGAGCCCCCACCCTTGGCGCCAAACCGGAAAAAGCGCCAAGCGAAAACGAAATGGCGCCAAGCAAACCCGACAACGGTGACAAGTAAATATAGCAGTATAAGATGGTTACGCAATGAAAATACATGTAAACAATACAGAAATTTAACATTTAAGATAAAAAATATAACAACAGCACTTACTTTCTTATTGTTGATCCTTCCCAAGTGGAGGGTCAAGTGTAACAACTGCTTTTAAAAAATTCTGGAAAGTCTCATCGCTGAGTGAGTGATCGCGAGAGCGCCGCCATAAATAATCAGCAAGATAATGGTCGAACATGCCTTCTGCATGGCTGGTGTGATTACGGAGAAAACGTTTTATTGCCGATTAACTTACTATTGGAAAACCACGAATTCTTTCTTATACTTCTGCAAACATGCGTATTCACACCTTTTTTTTCGACATCTCCATTCAAATCCATCAAAACAACACTCTTTCGTTCATTTAATCCCATTTGCTCATTACATTTAGGACATTCATAACTTGAAGCAATTAATCCTTCTTTCATACACCATTCAATCAATTCTTTTTGCCTCTAGCATTCAATAACGTAAAAAATTCTAACGTGTATTCACTTACAAGCGCAGCCATACTTTCAACCCGGTGCCCAACAACAAAATGAAATTTGAAAACGCGCCCACAAATGACGAAAATTCTAGAAAAAGTTAGGGTTGCCATATGTTGTATTTAAAAGCAAGGTTACCATGACGGCGCAATTATCGCCAACCAAAGTAATTCGCGCCAAGGGTGGGGGCTCTCCTAGGAGTGAACCGTGATTCCTCCCCCCTTTTCCTTGGTCTATTGCAGCTACTTTTATTACTAGCGTATGCAAAGAGCCTGAGAAAAGCAACACGGAAAAAGTATCTCGAAAGTTCTTTGTAGTGCTGCCATCTGTGAAGAAACGTTTTAACTTCGTAGTTTGTCACGGTCTACTTGTAGATTTGATGCCATTCCTGTTTCGACTTCTGATTATTTTAGGATACTCTTCATTGGATCTTCTGTCATCGCCGTGATCGTATAATAGTTAGTACAATGAGTTGTGGTCGCAATAATCCCGTCACGTCAAGATCAACTTTAGATTTTTGATTTTTATTTCGGTGGTTTTATGCATGACCTCTATCAGGAGCACCTAGGTTTTATCAAATCTCACAGAACTCTAGCTGAACACTGTACTTACTGGTTTATATTTGCGTTTTAATATTTCTTAATTCTGTTTTCAAGAATCATAATCGAAAATATTTTTGCAGTTATATTACGATGTAGAAGACCATATGGAAAGTAATCCATTTCTAGTGATATATCCTTCAGAATTAAATTTCGAGTGAGTTGCTCGAAATATATCACGTAGAAATAAATATTTTCTTCTAGAGTACTGCCAATTTCAGGAATTCGTACGTAAGTGTTTTCGCTATTAGTGTCGACAAGGAAATTTTACAAAGTACCTCTGGGAATTTTTTCTTGAATACACCATGCAGTAATTGACAAAGGAAAGGAAAACGCTGAAAAAAAACCCCAGGAGTATAATTTTAAGCAAAATTATTTAAAACGCATATAATCATTATTATTTAAAATATTGGGAATGTGATTTTTTCTCTTTTCCTTGGCCTATTGCAGCTACTTTTGATGACTCGCGTATTCAAAGAGCCGCCGAAAAGCCAAGCGGAAAAAGTATCTTGAAAGTTTCTCGTAGTGCTGCCATCTGTGGAGACAAATTTTAACTTCCTATCTAGTCACGGTTTTCTAGTAGATTTGATGCCATCCCTGTATCGACTCTTGATCAATTGAAGATACCCTTGAATGGAATGGCAGTTATCGCCGTAATCGTGTAGTGATTAGTACATTGCATTGATCTTGCAACAACATAGGTTCGAAGTTCGAATCTTAGTCAAGAGAAAGCTTTCGCGGTCTTCTTTTTCGGTGCTGTTATGCATGACCCCATCAGGAGCACATATGTTTTATCAAATATTATAACACTGAAACACATATTTGCAGATGTATGAACGCGTTTAGATATTTCTTAATTCTGTTTGCGCACATCTGTATTAAATATTTCGTAAAGATGCCTTTTGTGCCGAAATATTGACCACGCGAGGGCGCTGGTGTGCGCATCTGTATTAAAATTGTAAAGATCGTGATCGTAGGATTGTATCGTAAGATGTAAGCCGCATCGCGGCAATTCGTATCTAATTAAACATTATTATACCTAAATTATCTCATGGAATTATTGTGAACTGTCTAACTAATTCGCCCGGATACACACTCCTTTCGTTTCGATAGACATTGCTTCGTTTATAATTCGCTACATGGTGCATCGGCCGGGAAGGACATTCGCTGCGTGATGGGGGGTGAGTACTTTCGTTTTGTCTAAC